AAAAGACAAGCACGCATCGGGGAGGAGTTAGACCGTGAAGACAAATAACGCTGAGAGAAAGTACAAGAAGCATATAGGGAGAAAGGAAATTTTGAGACAGAGGGTAGAGACAGTGGAACAGGGCCCACAGAGGGAGAGATGGAGATAGAGGCGGAGAGATGACCGGAATGACAATAGGATATAATATAATCTTAAAGGCGTGTAGACGGGGCTATTAAGGAGGGTAGACAGGTAATAAAAAATCTGTTATACTGAGTACTGTAATACAGTGGTTCGGAAGATACTATGGATGGAAAGAAAGTTGATGAAAGGCAGAAAAAAACTGAAATAGTTTGGCTTCATTAAAAGACATAATAATCTCATAATAACCATACTGAATAGAAAAGTTTAAGGCAAGATAGCAAAAGGCAGACAACGATACAAGCAAAAAGACAACATGGAGACATGGACAAATATCAGACTAAAAGAGTATATAAAACAAGAGACAAAGCGTGTTGGAGATGTACTGCAGCTAACCCTCATGGCGAAGACAGCACCTCATCGACTAATGACTAAACGAGCGGACATTTGCAAGAATCAAGTTATGATTGTGACTAGACAGCAAGACAGCAAGTGGAAAGACTAGACAAAAACACTGTGAAGGAAACCAAAGACCAATAAGCACACACGTCACCGATGCTGTTTTATGTGAAAGATATACTGAAGAAGGAATCTGAGAACCTATGGAGTCTTTGATTCGATGTGCAATGAGGGTGATCTGTCAAGTAATTTACTAACCTACTTCTGCCACAGACGCGTTTTTGTGCAAATATATTTTGGAGTCTTAATGCCCTGTTTAATGTTATTTTAATGTTTAATTACAACTCTTGTTTTTAACAGCGCACGCTTGAACAGCATAATAACGGTTTCCCATTTTTACTGTGTCTTCCCTGTAAGTTAATAGGTGTGTTAGTTCTCCGTATCCTCAAGTTTAATTTGCAATCTGTTTTCTATTAAAATATTTGCTTTCTTGTCCCTTTCTTTTCTCTTTCTCCTGTCGGTTTAATATTTACTGGTGTTGATTTTCTCTCTCTCTCTCTCTCTCTCTCTCTCTCTCTCTCTCTCTCTCTCCCGTTCTCTGTCTCTCTCTCTCTCTCTCTCTCTCTCCCGTTATCTCTCTCTCTCCCGTTCTCTCTCTCCCGTTTTCTCTCTCTCTCTCTCTATCTCTCTCTCTCTCTCTCTCTCTATCTCTCTCTCTCTCTCTCTCTCTCTCTCTCTCTCTCTCTCTCTCTCTCTCTTATGGCTACATAGTTCATCTGCCTTCCAGTTTAATCCAGACAGCATAATCTTGTAAGCCAAGACCAGGAACGAAAATATTAGTAATATCAAGAAACAACTCGTTGCTGATAACCAGACCTTGATGGCTGAAACCAACATGAAACTGCAACATCTCACATCCATAAATCAAACATTCAAAGCAATTAGGAGAATTGGCACGGAAGGGGGGGGGGGGTGGGGGGGGGGGGGGGGGGGTGGGGGGGGGGGGAAGATAGAAAATAGAAACATATCTCAAAAAGAGTAGTACAATAATACGGCATTAAACGTAATGAAATGAAAAACAAAATATGTTCAAGATGACAATTGAGATGAAGTATTTAATATCCTATGGAGCAAAGCAAACCAAGTATTAGGACAGTTAACCTAGTCTCACAACATAAAATTGTCTAAATCAACACAGAGAGAGAGAGAGAGAGAGAGAGAGAGAGAGAGAGAGAGAGAGAGAGAGAGAGAGAGAGAGAGAGAGGAAGGAAGAGATACAGATAGACAAGAGAGAGACACAGAGAGAGAGCACATATTTAATTCCACGCTTTGTTACCAATGTCAGACGTAGTCACTAATAATAAACCAGAAAATCAAAAATGATTAACCATGAACTGAATAATCTTGATCTCCAACACATATATATTAGCAATGCAGGTTGAAAGCTGTAATCATCAACATTTCCCACAACTGTTTAGTATAAAAAGAATTAGACATAGTCTCTGACATTCATATTAACCAAGTATAGATTAAACAACAAATATTCAAGCACAATGGGTAGTTTAGGATGTCTAACAAAAAGTTTAAAAAAAAAATCAATTTAGCATCATGTCAAAGGCGGAAGGAAGAGGATCATGTGAAATTCAGATAGTTGAGACAGGACAGACAGACAGGCAGGCAGGCAGGTTAGACAGATAGACGGACGAACGGACGGATGGACAGACAGACAGACAGACAGACAGACAGACAGACAGACAGACAGACAGACAGACAGACAGACAGACAGACAGACAGACAGACAGACAGACAGACAGACAGACAGACAGACAGACAGACAGACAGACAGACAGACAGACAGACAGACAGACAGACAGATAGGCTCCCTTATGAACGTAGCGTATTCTTTATAATTAAACTTATTCCTAGATCAATCAAAGATCAAATGAGGAAATTTCCTAAAAAGTAAAAACCGCCAGCGTTATAACGACGCCAGCATCAGTCTATCGCCGATTTGTCTGTAAATAATTCTCTGTGTGGGTACCAATGCCCCATTGTGGGGAAAACAAGAATAGAACTATTGCACCCCCACCCTAATAAAAATTTTATAGGAGTGATTGGGAGCTTCCTTAAAGGTCGGAGTGTGTTTCTGCGATCAGCAAGGAACAGCCAACTGCACACAAACAAGGCAGTTGAATGGATGTACACGCAATACTCAGGGCCTGGCACACAGCAAAAGTCGAGATGGACGAACAACCAGGACTTTCTACCAGAGAGTACAACCAGTGAGCGAAGAGTGAAAAGCAGATTTTGTATTTAAAAAATGCTTCTTGCAAAATATGCTGAATAAATATAAGAAAAATGGGAAACAAAAACAGGACCTTCAATTTACTTAACATCGTACATGCACAACACAGTGGAGGTCTTAACTATCATACTGGTACATGCGATAACTCTGATCTATTACACTAAATACATGCGATAACTCTGAGCTATCACACTAAGTACATGGAGAGTTCTGAACTAACACACTGAGTACATGCGATAACACAGCCGTCGATTACGTTTTGCTAAACTAAAATAAATCGTACTTCAGAAAACCTGTATCTCCCCACAAGGATTCTTATTTCTAGTGCGTTAGATAAGAGCAGGTATTCAGTTTCTCTAACATATGTTTGGAGAAGTTGGAGAAAAATTGTATCAGGAAATTTTTTAGACGATACTATCTTTTTCATGTTGTCAGAAACTCCTGGAAAAGTAATTAATGTTTTTCTTATAACAACATACACCTCTACTGTTATGGTGTGTTAACACAACACAAACGGCATCACTGCGGATTAGAAATTTCTATTGGTTCGACGTTATTCTCCCTAAATAGAATAGGTCATTTTTCATTCACAAGTTTGTTGGGCTGGCTGACTTTGCTGAAGGTTACGGATGTGTCATGTTCTGGTTTCTGCTATGTTTTGCATTTACGTTTTCCTTTCGAGAAAGAGAATGCCTAAGACATAGATTGCAGCACTCTCTGGGGGAGGGGGAGGGGTTGTTAGACCCAGTTTCTCCAAGTTTTTGGAGTGTTGAAAGCGCTGGCGTGCTAAAATATACAACTCGCGATATCAACGGCATTGCGGAACATCCCTTTACCGTGTGCGAAGGTCACGGGGCTCAGGAAATACTAATCAGAAGTGAGCTAGAGTGTATATGGGCGTGGTCTAGGAAGACTAACGTCGAACGACCGTAAATTTCTATGCGTGCTCAGTTCACAATAAAGCACTCGTCCCGAGCTATCTGGGTTAAGTATGGTGGTCCTCTTTTTTTTTTTTTTTATATGTAAGTATTTGGCACTTTTGCGGTATAGGTAATGCAGTCTTTGAGCCTGAAGATTTAGGACCGTATGGCTAATGCTTTTGCCACGAACTGTGCTCATAAGGATTTTTTGTGTGGCTCCGGATAGAAAACAAAACCCTACGGGTGAAACGAACATGGGTCTCCTACACAAGAGTCTTGCGTTTTTCAAACTCTTAGGCCAACTGCTTCTCATACCCACTTATGCCGTTTACATTAGTGGGTCTACACTAGATATTGTTCATTTTTTTTTTTCAAAGATCATCTTCATCGCACATCAGATATGACCATGAGTGCTCAGATATCCTCCAAAGTGTGTTTCCAAGTGGTTTTAGGTTAAAACTCTAATTCTGTTCTGTTTAATGTAACGACGGGTGGCTCCCGCATGATTTGCCTGTCTCGCAGCTGCAACTGGTACACCCAGGGTATGCAGTCTATTCAGTAGAAAGGGGGAGGGGGGTTGAGGAGAGGGTCATTTTTTCAGGTAACGGAAAGCCTCACAGCGTTTAGTCTCTTGCACGGCATTAATGATGCCTCTCCTGTTCATTTAGGACCCATACCTAATAGTCGCACGCCAGTCAGATCGTCTGCTCTCTCATTGCCATCAATACCAGCATGCTCTGGGACAAAAATGAAGGTGATTTTACGAAACGCTGTGTGCAGTATCAGACGGAGTCACTGCACTGTTTCCGTATGTACGGCGCCTTGATTTTCTGTAGCATGTAGATAGTAGTAAGTCAAGTAAGTAGAGAACCCTCTTAATACCGCACTGGGGATATAATACTAGACACATAATGTTTAGAGACCAACTTTCTTTGGATGGTGTGACCAACAAAACAGTGATCGTCTTTACTCCCCAGGACATTTTCTAGTGCCCGTTTTAGACGTTTCTCATCATCTTGGTCTTCATCAATCAGTAGGTCCTTTACAGAACGTCGCTCTCGTCACGGCACGCCTGAAAGTCTTTCTCCAGCCAGTTCTCCCGCTGTGTGCTTTCACGGTCAATGCGTCTTCCATGTCTTGTTAGCACCTTCGCAGAGGTTTAAGACAATAAGACCGGCAAGTAGTTCCTAATTTCACTGAAATTTAGGAAGCTGGAGGGGAACTCCCTGATATACTAAGACGGACAGTTAACTTACTGAGTTGCAAAAATGTGTGAGCCTTCTGTATAACCGCCAATGGTTCCGCTGAATAGTCTTCCAGTCGCACCACAAGGACCTGATCCCTGGGAAACAAGGCCAGCCAGTCTTGTAAATAGACCTGATACAGGCCGAGGCGAAGTCTTACCTGCAGACGAAAGCGTTTTCAGAAAGGTTTTAGATTAAGATCTGTACGACAGATTATTATAAAAGGTAAAGGTAAAGTTGGGAGATGTGAACCAGCGTCACTGCACACGGTAATAAACCATAAGTGCTCTGCCACCAGTACGGACAGCTGATACGAAACTGTCCGCCTATGTCGCCGTTCGCACGCAACTCTGTAGCTACAGCAACGTTCCTCCATTTACCCCAGAGTGTCACTCTGGTACCCATTTCCTAAAGGCTGGGTAAACCCCGGGAACCGCCCGGTTTCGAACACCGACCGTGGCTGCAGCGAGTCGCAGCTGGATTTGAAAGCGAGCCTACTATCGACTGCGCTATCGCGGCTCCCTGGCGTCGTCGGTAGATTATTATCATCGCCATCAGGTAAGCTTTTACGTAACCAACACCTTAAATTTTTTTTTATTGGGCTGTTAGGTTTTGCTTGGCAATTTTACCTTCGGTAGTTTGCCATATCCTCTGAAGGGTCAGCTCTGGATTTAAAAAGATGATGGCGTAGATAATTTAGAGGTTTCTCCTCCGAAGTCGGAGTACATTTGGCTGAAAGGCAAGGACCCCATAATCTGCATACAAATAAGCCAGGTCTTTCAAACTAATATGTAAGCAGAAGTCCGATTTTTTAACAAGACCAACGTCCAGAAGAGGACGAACACTCCCAATTTTCTTCAGATGTTTACAGTCGGTGACGGCGAAAAAGAAGAATTGGAATCAATAAAAGGCAGAAGCAGCCATTTTTTTGCTGAGTCGGGACAAATTTTTTTTTTTTTTTTTAGCAAGCAGACATGAAACGAACTTAATACTGAAAGCGAGTCATGCTGCACTTTTGTATCAACCATTATGGATCACTGCATACTTCTTTCGTGTTTTTCCTTAAAATAGCTGTCGGCACTTGTGTTTTGATTTACAGCCAGCTAGTGATATCTGATAAACAACACGCCTGGTTTCTGTGAACTTTTTTAGTGGCATTTTACGACCTGCTCGTTAAGGAGCAGTGGGTCGATATTTCCCACCAGACTGGTGCCAGGGAACCTACCCACATAGAGACAATAGATTTTAATTTTTTATTTATATGGTTAGCATTATCTAGCCTTTGATTGTCTTTGGTCTGCCCAGGTTGTAGTAGGTGTGCGTCTTCGCTATGTTCTTAATGTCATCACTCTATATACTCCACTTGCTCTGTACGCGTTGTAACGTTTAAGTGTTGCTCTCTGTGGCAGACAGTACCAGGGCATTCTTGTTAGTTTCTTTGATGACCTGTAAGACTGGCTTATTTCTAGCATTCGTCTGATTTCGTGATTTCGTATTCTCTCTTTCCTTGAAACTCCTGCAGCTGTATGATTCCTATCTCTCGACCTGTTCGACATGACAGATATTACAATTAGCAGCTATGCTACCGTTGGCATAGCTTTAAGGGTCATTCTGGCACCCAAGCCGATCTGCCAGTTTAGGGAGTACACGCATCGGGCAAATAAAACAATCTGAAGTGACAGCAAAGATAAGAACGCTTGGGAAAATTGTAAACTATGTGAGGGATTAACTTCTGCGGGTTCATTATTTCTTATCCTGGCAGCCCAAAGTACGTTTATTTTTGCTGTTATGAGTAACACGGACATGGCTGTTGCAGGCTTGGATCGAGTTAGGAAATGGGTGTCAGTGTTAATTATAACTAATTGTGTACTGTGAAAGAGGTGTCTAGCGGTCTAGTACTACCAATTGCGAGGCTGCCTCTCAAGACAGGAATGCATGGCGTCCAACTCTACACAAGGGCGCGGCTACATGTGAAGCAAACAGAACAGCAAGACTGATTAGGAAAAGGATGGAGAGAAAGGCGACTGCAGGAGATCACCTCCCTAGCACAACACTCATTCCCTGTCTCCATTGTCCAAGAACATTTCGGGCCCGCGTGGGCCTCATCAGTCATCTTCCTACTCATACTTGATGAAAAAAGAGTGGTCATCATCATTTTGATTGACAACACACACACTACCTGGCGCACTGCCAATAAGGAAGGCAAACCCGAGCAGCGAATGAAGTCGGATGTGTCGGCCCAAAAAAAAGGCAAAATTTGGCAGCTATGTTGTTAACGGGCACAACGCATTTACGTCTTCGAATGAATGCAGGAAAAGAAGACTACCACTAGGTGGAATTCGCACTATGTTGAATTTCACCTTCACACGAAACGAGATGGTCGTGTGGATGGTTGTGAAATTGAGTAAGTGATGAATTTGTTGAAATTGTTGAGTACAGAACCCTAGATTATTGTCTTTGCGTGTGAGAAGCATTTTCAAGAGTTACAGTCGTACTTTTACTCACTAAGTATAGTGAATGGTAGTTAAAAAGTTGTATGTCTAGAGCAGTTAATTTCCTAGTCTGTTTTCATATACATTCTCTACAAGTTATTTGTGCAATATGGTATATGACTTCTCTATTAGATATTTGTCAGATGTGTAGTTATTTGAATTCCCTACCAGCTATTCGCCCATTCTGTTATTATATGATTCCCCTGTTATTTATGTGCTCACTTTGCTATTACACATATCCCTTTAAGTTATTCGCTCATTCATTTATTATTTGAATCCTTGGTTAGTTATCTGCCCACTATATTTTTATATGAATCCCATGTAAGTTGTTTGTTTACTCTGTTATTATATGGATCCATTTTTAGTTATTTGACTGTTTTAGACTGGACAGTTATTTAAATAAAAATCTTCTTCATATTTAAATATATATATATATATATATATATATATATATATATATATATATATATATATATATATATATATATATATATATATATATATATATATTAACCCCCAGAACTTCGGCCCGACCAGAAGGTATCTAAGCACTATGCTGCCATGGCTCCCGAAATCTTTACAACACGAGGGATAAAGTACACACGGAGACACGATCATACACAGGCTAGTTGCTCGCCTTCAAAACAAATCCGAGTTCCGTCTGTCCTGCAGAGGCTCGGTGATGTTTTTTGAGACCAGTGCACCCAGCCTACAAACTTCCGGTCAATACAGCGGATGGACAGGGTTGGAACTATGATTATCTGATTATCTGATTAACTGATTACTGGACAATTTTCAGAATATTTGACAGATTATCTGAGAAGAAAAGGCAACAAGGATGGGAACTGGACTTTTTAACACCCCTAGTACAGTTTAAAATATGTGAATGTCTAACATTTTACATCACGACGGCGTTATCTTCTATAGAATTATCTTTAGCTTTATTTTACGCAGCCGTGTCAATTTAACCTACTGGTATCTATCAGCAGTGGACTGCTCCGCATTTGGAACGATCTGAACACTGAGGTATCATCGCCAAGGTTATTATTCTCCATGTTGTGTAAATAAATCAACAAGCATATCAGACTGTATGCACACTCTGCAGGTAACAAGAAGTATACATCATGCTACAAATTTTTTACATTGCATTACAAACTTCTAGACTTATCTCCTATTTCTGATTAGGAAGTGTATTTGCAGGCTCATGAAAAGTCCGTTGGCACATATATCAGCGTGTCTAACATTGCAAAACAAAACGTAAATTAATTAAATAGATATGTTTGATGCTGTTTTCTAGGCTATCTATCACCTGGTCTGTTGCTTCAGCTCTTGCTATTCAATAGGGTGTTTACATTTCGAGCTAAATCTGATATGTGTCTTTTCTTCTTGTTCGCGTTCAACAGTCGTTGAAAGTGCTGGTCGTTCGTCCACTTCTGGATCTCAGTCCAATTCTAGGCCCAGAGTGTAGCATATGTATCCGTTTTGCAGGTCTGATTCATCCGTATGAAGACTGTAGGTAGTTAGGTAAGTTGTACCCCACCATGACATCACACAAGCGAAAAGCACACGGGAACACAAAGTGACACCACGCGGATGAGGATCACCCGTGGAGAGGTCACGGAAACCCAGTTCAGTCGTCAGGCCATATTCAAGGCCCGGGTGGGGCCATAAAAAACTAGTTATTCCTCTGCATCTGAGGGAGATACACTCCGACTTCGAAGAACGACTCCAGTTAGTCAAATCTAACAAGCTTCTGGGTAGGCAGGGTTATTCGTGTTATTCCTTACACTGGGAATCATCATTCTATCAATCAAAAAAAGAGGTTTTTAGTTTAATAATTTCTGTATTTTTTGAAAGAATCATGGATTTACTGTTTGTTTAATTTAATGGGTAATGGTTAATAACTGTATTGATTACTTGACAAAATCGCAGTGCGTCTTGTTTTACTCATTGATGATTGTTGCTTTGTGTAATTCAGTGGAAACGACGCATGCAATATGCTTCATTCAATTTTGAAATTTTGAAAAATTACTCTCTCTTTCTCTGTCTGTCTGTCTCTCTCTCTCTCTCTCTCTCTCTCTCTCTCTCTCTCTCTCTCTCTCTCTCTCTCTCTCTCTCTCTCTGTCTCTCTCTCTCTCTCTCTCTCTCTCTCTCTCTCTCTCTCTCTCTCTCTCTCTCTCTCTCAAGTTCATGCCTTCTAGAACTGCAGTCTGTAGAATTAATTTCTCAAAGGTGCAAATCGGACAGGTACAAACTTTTCAAATCCAGTTAAACCTCATAACCATATAGTTATAATGTATCACCACAAAACTGTTACGATGTAAACTATAGTTCAGCGCAAGGCGGCCTGATTTCTGCTATATTGATGTAAAGTATTACAGGGGCTGGATTTACATTTGATGAGGCCCCAGACTGTATAAGTCCTGAGGCCCCTACCGTTTGAAAGAACACCAGCTAAACTCAGAAAAACATTTAAAATATTCTTGCGTTTAATGTTTGTTAAAAGCATTAACAAACAATGTGTTTTCTGAATCAGGAAATTATATATAATCATGTAAAAAGCTTTAAGTTACAGCAGAATACTTTTTCTTTGATTTCTCAGATTTTTTTCGTGAAGAAGAAAAATGAAAGTATTTTGAGGCCCTGCATTATATTAGAGCCTTTAATATGAGCCTTTAGAACCTTATAAACCGCTTCGATGCGGATCTGAACACAAGAACTTCCGTCTGGTAGGCAAACATCTAGCCACTTAGGCTCTATTGCATAACATGTGTTATAATAAGCCTTTTGGAAGCGACTGAACAGCGCGGAGGGGCAGATAGATCATTACGGTCTAAGGAGTGACGCTGCCAGTAGTTACCAGGTGATCTGGCCACGCTCAACACTCAGGGGAAGGCTTAGACGAATATACAATCAGGCGGTTACTGGTACCATCGGTGTTGGAACTCTTCGCTTGCTGTTGAAGATGGGTACTGAGCACTTATGGGGGTGTACCGAGTGATGATTCAACATTTAACATGTGTTAAAATAATTGGATGAGCAAATTATAACTAAGGCAACGTGAAACAATTTATAGAAGGTAACTAATCATCAACTGTTGGAATTATCAACCCAAAATATTGGTCTCTTGAGAGAGTCGTCTTAACAACATTAGGGCCCCCGAGAAAACTAGTGCACTGGGGTCCTACCACAACCACTTTTATCTATCTATATCCTCTTCATGTCGCTGTTGACACATAAGGCATTCACAAGTGATCTCCATTGCTGCCGGTCTGCTGCTTTTTTGCCCATGGTATCCCATGTCAGTTTACATTCCTTCATTTCCCATTTTATTGTCCTTCTCCAGGTTTCCTTAGGTCGTCCACGTCTCCTTTTCCCATCTGCTGTTCATCGGAGAGCTGTTTTTGCCAAAGTGTCACAACCACTTACAGGAATGAAATTTCTATGGCAAATCACATGACACACGCAGATTATCGTGCGGCCCATATGCTCCTAAGGCCTCTGTCAACGCCCAGAGAACCCTTACGTTAAGAATCCACTGTCTTTGGGACTTTAGGAGCTAACAAGCTTATCATTATTAAATAAATGCAATGTTCTGATACTCACCCTAGACTTGATGGCTATAGATGCATTATATACACAAGCACGTATTCCTATTTTGTGAATACAATCATTGAGGGAGTCTACAGCCGCAGTCGCCTCATTGTGGAAGTCCTCTTGAGACTTCAGGGAATGTGTGAAGTAAAGGAAATCTGAGTATAGTCTGAGAAGGAAATACAAGGATTAATGTTCATGTTACTAATTACTGGTTAAGCTTTTAAATTTATGGTAATGCTAGATGAGAATAGTATGTGAAGTTTTGGTTGGTTCAAGTCGGTGGCTGGTTTTAGTGGTAGGTTAAGGTGGCTGGTTTAAGTTGTAGGTTAAGGTGGCTAGTTTAAGTGGTAAAGTGGTAGGTTAAGGTGGCTTGTTTAAGTGGTGGCTTGTTTAAGTGGTTGGTTAAGGTGGCTGGTTTAAGTGGTGGCTTGTTTAAGTGGTTGGTTAAGGTTGCTAGTTTAAGTGGTGGCTTGTTTAAGTGGTTGGTTAAGGTGACTAGTTTAAGTGGTGGCTTGTTTAAGTGGTTTGTTAAGGTGGCTGGTTAAAGTGGTTCGTTTAAGTGGAAGGTTAAGGTGGCTCGTTCAAGTGGTGACTTGTTTAAGTGGTTGGTTAAGGTGGCTAGTTTAAGTGGTGGTTTGTTTAAGTGGTTGGTTAAGGTGGCTAGTTTAAGTGGTGGCTTGTTTAAGTGGTTGGTTAAGGTGGCTGGTTGATTGGTTTTGTTGGTTGACTAGCTGACTGACTGGTCAGGTAAAGAGTGGAAGGCTAGTTAGTATTGTGCCTAAACAGTTGGCCATCGTGACATGCAGGCATTGATAAAATATATCAGATATGTGGACAGCCTGACTTGGAATCATATAGGAAAGAGATCAGACGACCTGGCAAGGCATTATATCAAGGAGATGCACAGATAAAATAGTATACACCTGGACACTGAAAGCATTGCAGATGAGGTAAATTTATAGACAGCTTCTTGTGAGTTTGTTATGTCTTATGGTCCATTAGGAAACTAAGACATAAACAAGCGTATCATACAGAAAAAAAAAAGAGAATGACATAGCTGCATAGGCTCCGGAACCTGTGGGTTTGGGGGATCTTGAACCCCTCCTGCCTCCACCTACAACCCTCCCGAAGAAAAAACCGTGTGGGCTCAACCCCTCTGCATAAATTATTATGGAGCAGGTCACGCCCCCCCCCCCTTCCCACCCCCAAACCACCCCTACTGTCATGCATCGAAATTTTCTTTTTAAGCAATAGTCTAAATATTGAATATTATTTCAAAGATATCACATTGACATGGCATGCCATTCTCCACAAGTTGATAATACAGTTATTATTATTATTAATATTATTATTGCGCGCAGTAAAACAAAGCTTAAACCCTTGAGCGCCTTGTCCAAAAAAAATTGATAAGTGGCTTATCTCCCTCCTCCCTCTCCCCCCCCCCCCCCCCCCCCCCCGACTCAATCCCATTATTGACGACCTGAACCCTTTCCCTCTGTGGCAATACATGACCTACCTACCTGTCGGTGGGATTACGAAGTATCACAATAATTCTCGCTTGGGGTAGAACCAAATGGACGTGGTCAGCGTTGGTGAATTTTGGTTCTAAAAGACCGCAGTTCTCGGGATTCTTCCACCAGTCGTCGTTTGACCACAAGGTGGACACGCTGGCATCTCCTAAGAACAGAAAGAAAGGTCCACATATTCCCATGCATAGTTTATACAAAGAATTTACTAATTGTTTCGTGCATAAGACGTTCCCATGTATAAAAGGATTCCTATTTTTAAGCTCAAAATCAGGAAATACATATTTTAAACACCTCTCGTATAAAGAGACCTTAATTTTTAAAAAAGAAAACAAAAAATTAGGGAGGGGGTGAGCTTTTTTTTTTTTTTTTTACACGGAAAATTACAGTATGTACTTAGGTAATAATTTCGAGAGACAGCGAGTTTTGATTGTTGAATGTTGAATTAAGAATCAACATCATGGCACTCTGGACACTCCTGTAACCGCTGCGTCCCCATATTCAGAAACTATTGAAGAGTTTCAATTCCGATGGCACCAGTAACTGTCACTGTTGTTTTTCCTTGAGTGTTGAGCTTCAGCCAGATTCCCTGGTAACTCTTCGAAGTGGCATTCTCCTCAGACCGTTATGATCTATTTGTTTCTCCTTAATGTTCATTTGCTACCAAAGGGCCCTCGCAATATCTTGCTTGTCACACATCAGTTCACCACCAAGTGGTGCAGAATTGGTCCGTCTTTCTGCCTGCTTGTTTTCCAACACACCATCAACACCTGGAGAAAAATATCCAAAGGATGTTAACTACGCGGGAACTCTGAAGGTATGTCAAGGACATACAAAGAGAGAAATTATAACACGCACTGGTTAAGCATATGCATATTTTAAAAGCCTCCAGGATTGTTCCGGGACTAGTTGCTTGTTCACCAGTTATCTAATTGCAACAATGAGTACAACTTATTTACTTGCTTAATACTGGCACGGAAATTGAGCAAGTATGGGGAAACCCGATTGATGTGATGTTGAAACCTCGACCAAGACAAAAAGCCTCAACAAAATATGGACACATCCTGAGAATAATTTACAAGCGAATCGCCAAACAGGCACTAAAATGGGAAATAAAAGGACTCAGTAAGCAAGAATGTCCAGAAGAAACTCTAACACGAATGTTGACTTAAGATGCTCAAGTACCTAGACCGTACTCTTTCAGTGATTTTGAAGGGATTGCACACGAAAGAATACAGTTGAGGAACAGATTGTGAGCCATGTGTGACACATAATTGCACAACACAACAATGATAATGATTATATACAATGTATGAGTGCGGCGGTTCGAATCCGTATCGAGAATTTATGTTCTTTTAAACTTACTTCAGCTTCCAGTTTGAACGAGATAAAAATGGATACTAGTGAAATTGCAAAGAACTAAAGACCGCTTGTTGACCACATTCAGTACTGACTGATTCATTAACATATTCCTGAGATCTAGACATTCTTAATTGGCCAGTGAGTCTAAATATTCCTGACTGACCAATAACTTAAAAGTGACCCTTTTTGTGTGTGTTATAAGACTCAGTATTAAGAGAAATGTGCAATTCCATTAAATTTTGTTGTCACGTTCTTATTTGTCAGTTAAAAAATATAGATTGAAAATTACACATATAATTCTTTTGACTACTCGACAACTTGTTTATTTCTATGTATTAAAAAGTTATTTAAAAGTATGTATGTATGTATGTGTGTGTGTGTGATTGTGTGTGTGGGTGGGTGGGTTGGTAAGTGGGTGGGTGGGTGGGTGGGTGGGTGAGTGGTTGGTTGGTTGGGCATGGTGGGTGTGTGTGTGTGTGTGCGTGTGTGTGTGTGTGTGCGTGTGTGTGTGTATGTGTGTGTGTGTGTGTGTGTGTGTGTGTGTGTATGTCTGTATGTATGTATGTATGTATGTATGTATGTATGTATGTATGTATGTATGTATGTATGTATGTATGTATGTATGTATGTATGTATGTATGTATGTATGTATGTATGTATGTATGTATGTATGTATGTATGTATGTATGTATGTATGTATGTATGTATGTATGTATGTATGTATGTATGTATGTATGTATGTATGTATGTATGTATGTATGTATGTATGTATGTATGTATGTATGTATGTATGTATGTATGTATGTATGTATGTATGTATGTATGTATGTATGTATGTATGTATGTATGTATGTATGTATGTATGTATGTATGTATGTATGTATGTATGTATGTATGTATGTATGTATGTATGTATGTATGTATGTATGTATGTATGTATGTATGTATGTATGTATGTATGTATGTATGTATGTATGTATGTATGTATGTATGTATGTATGTATGTATGTATGTATGTATGTATGTATGTATGTATGTATGTATGTATGTATGTATGTATGTATGTATGTATGTATGTATGTATGTATGTATGTATGTATGTATGTATGTATGTATGTATGTATGTATGTATGTATGTATGTATGTATGTATGTATGTATGTATGTATGTATGTATGTATGTATGTATGTATGTATGTATGTATGTATGTATGTATGTATGTATGTATGTATGTATGTATGTATGTATGTATGTATGTATGTATGTATGTATGTATGTATGTATGTATGTATGTATGTATGTATGTATGTATGTATGTATGTATGTATGTATGTATGTATGTATGTATGTATGTATGTATGTATGTATGTATGTATGTATGTATGTATGGATGTACGTACGTACGTATGTATGTATGTATGTATGTATGTATGTATGTATGTATGTATGTATGTATGTATGTATGTATGTATGTATGTATGTATGTATGTATGTATGTATGTAAGTATGTATGTATGTATGTATGTATGTATGTATGTATGTATGTATGTATGTATGTATGTATGTATGTATGTATGTATGTATGTATGTATGTATGTATGTATGTATGTATGTATGTATGTATGTATATATGTATGTATGCATGCATGCATGCATGCATGCATGCTTGTATGTATGTATGTATGTATGTATGTATGTATGTATGTATGTATGTATGTATGTATGTATGTATGTATGTATGTATGTATGTATGTATGTATGTATGTATGTATGTATGTATGTATGTATGTATGTATGTATGTATGTATGTATGTATGTATGTATGTATGTATGTATGTATGTGTTTGTGTGTGTTTGTGTGTGTGCTTGTATGTATTATGTATGTTTGTATGTTTTTTGAGGTGGACTCTTGGGAACAAAATGACATGGACCGAATTGTGTGGAGGAGGCATATCAGGAAGGGAATGAGAATTAATGAAGAAATGGTTGCAGTAAGGATGAGAGCTGAGCGGTTGAGAAGAAATATACTCAACACAAATGTTGACAACAACGGTCCTGAAATCCCAAGATGTATTTGGGGAAGGCATTTTTTTAACGCAGGCGAGTCTTGCTAATCACACTCGCCATCGCCATTGTGATGTGAGTCCCATGCCTCCTCATAGCGCAGTTTAACACTATTGTTTGGATAGACTGAAAACTGCCAATCGTGTAAACCATTTATGTGAAAGAGTTTGTTAGTACGAAAATGTGTGTGTGTGTGTGTTAAAATGGTGGCGATGGCCATATAGATAGAACTAAGCAAAGAAAACAACACTGTTTTAACTGTACATACTAAATACATTTGTTTATCCATTTTAACAACATATCCTTTAACGAGGGTGGAGTGGGGGAGCGGAGGGGGAGGGGGAGGCAACACAGAACCGGCGTCATCAGTCGTTTTACACTTGTGGAGCTTTTAAGGGGGAGATCAGAGCACCTATGGGTCTGTCCGGAGTGCTGTGATGAGAATCCTTTCTTATCACTAGTCAGTTATGACGGTTAGACAGAAAAGAAAGTTGTATTACAGTAAAAGACCAGAAACAGGATGTTTTACATTGAAAGAGCAAACAATACAAAAAACACAGCAGATGGCCTACCGGTGATGACAGGGTGGTATCTCCTTGACTTCCCCATTGTGCTCCCAAGTCTTTCTATCTGCATGGCGGCACCATCATAGAGGTCCACGTAGTCTTTAAACGGAATGGTTGCAGCGTAATTGAGACACCAGCCTGCCAGACAACATCATAAAGAAAGCTGAATGTTAAATGTTGAATCAAGAATCGACATCACAGCCATCAGGACACTCCTATAAGCTCTCCGTCCCCATCTTCAACAGCGAACGAAGAGTTCCAATTCTGATTCAAGCAGTAATTATCTGATGGTATATCCATCTTGCCTTTCCTTTGAGTGTTGAGCGTCGGTCAGATCCTCCCCCCCCCCCCCCCCCCCCCCCCCCCGGGTAGCTCCTCACACCGTAATGATCTATTTGTGCATCATCACTGTTCATTCGCTCCCGAAGAGCCTTCACAACATCTAGCTTGACATATACAATTCACCATCAGGTGGTGCAGAACTGACCAGTCTATCTGCCCGGTTATTTCCCTACACACTGACATGACCTGGAGAAAATATCCAAAGGACGCTAACAAGCCGGGACCTCTGAAGCGATACATGCCACTCTGCACGGAGCATGCCTGTTTCCACCTTTCATCATTAATTAGAAGAGTATTGACTGGCACTCACAGAAGCAATCAAAAGTAAAAGAGGTCAGATGATATACTAAATAATGGAAAGGTAGTTTCTAAGTCACACTCGACATCGCCATGGATTGTGATTCCTGTGCCTATACATAGCACAAAATAAAACTATCGTCTAAAAGGACGAAAAGATTATAAGGTGGTAAACGCATAAAACTAACTAAACGCATAAGCATTCGATACGATATCATAAAAATAAAATAGTGATGTTCAAGTGAAAAGATGATGACAAACAAGGAAGTGGTAAGATTATTCAAAATAAATATATTATATATAGCAAAGGAGACAGAATAAGTGATAAAATAATTTCTAAAGATGGAGGTAAATGATACTTTTTTAATGGGAGGATACTAAATTTTCGCATTAGTTAAAGTAAAATCGTTTTTACGCTTTAAAACTTAGCTGGCATATGGTGCTTCTCAGGTGCGCTGCCATTCACAGCCCTAACAAATTTTCTTGAGCCAAATAGAGGGGGACGGGATAGGGGGAAGGGAAGGTAGGAGGAGGGGGGGCGCTTAAGTGGTATAATCCTAGTTCACAAATATATTAATAATTCAGGCATTATCATTTCCTCCATTCATTTTTCCCTCATTCATTTATCTTCCTATACCGTTATATGTAAAATAGGGCTCACAGCCTATGTCTGCATTCCACTATATCATTTGCAGTTGCTTCGATATCATGCTTCATATTTTTTCCAACGAGCATCTTTGGTTTCTTTTATCAACGTTCACTTTTGCATGTATCTTTGACGTCCTTGTTTCCTTAATATGTTTCCCATTTCAGTGCCTACCTGGTGATTCTCTATTCGTCTCTTCTCGGAAAGTGTCCAGTAGACCACCATCTTCTCTGCCGTACAAGTGTTGATTCCAGTAGACCACCATCTTCTCTGCCTTACAAGTGTTGATTCCAGTAGCCGCCTAGACATTTCCCCCATGTCTCCCCATCTCTTAAATTCATTTTATGTTTATTATTTTCTCAGTACAAATAGTATGAGAATCAACACTGAAAAGACAGAAGTAATGTAAATAGGGAAAAGGAAGACAGATCTAAACATAGCAATAGAGTGCAAAGGCATTAAACAGGCATCTGAGTTTAAATATCTGGGAACTACATTTACCGAAGCTAACCATGGAAACGAGATGTCTGAGAAGGGTTGTAGGAGTGACCATAAGAGATAAGATCAGGAATGAGATCATAAGAGAAAAAGTCGGCACAGAACCAATTCTAAATTACATTCGAAAACAGCAAGTGAAATGGTTTGCCCACTTAGAGAGAATGCCTTATGACACCATACTATACAAAGCATACATGGAAAGGGAAGAAGGACGTAGAGCACGAGGTAGACCAAGAACAAGATGGAAGGATAACATCAGAGAAACTCTACAACAGCACTATGTGCCTTTGGTCGAGGCGGCCAGAAGAGCTAGAGACAGAACCTTATATCTCCTCGACACCCACAACGGTAAAAGAGGAAGTGAAGAAGAAGAAGATTTTCTCGGTAGAGATGACAGCAGGGCTAGCGCTGTTTCTATATATGCTATCAAATAGACAAGAAAATAACGAAATATAACGACCTGGAAAAATAAACTGCGAGTCCAGAAGACGTATAAATGGTACAGCAGGATGATCATGATGATAATGACCTGGAAGTTCATATCAATTGTAAAAAGTTCTCATTGGGATTTCCAAGGCCCCATTGTGGGAAAACAAGATAATACCTACTGTCTACCCCCCCAAAAAAAACATGTAAGAGTCAACTAACTGGGAGCTTCCTTCGACGAGTGTGTCTGCTCGAGCAGCAAGGAACGATCAACTGTACGCAAATAGGCCAACAAAACAGATGTAACGCAAAACTCTAAATGGACGAGACAATAGGACTTTCCGCTAGAGCTTACAGTCAGTGAACAAAGAAGAAAGAAGGAAAATTGTAAAAATCCGTATAAAACTGACCAACTTGGGCGAGCATTGACAAAATTAGGCAGATATCACTGTATAACAGAGCTTTCAAAAGGGTTCATGATGGTGACACACATTATTGCAAACATAATTTCGCAAAATTCACCCTGCTTGCAGACCAGGGGTAAAACTAACCTATTACAAATTATATGGACACCTACACAAATTTCGTCCCGACACACAGTTTTGAAAGCTCTGTTCTACGTAATTTGTGCGTACTGTATATCTTACCGTATCTGTTCTTGCCCCACCAATGCGACTCTTTGATTGGCGGGCTGACAACATCCGGGTGGCTAACAATCTTGTTGTAGAAGTCAGTGCTACCACACTTTGGTTGACCAGCCAAGAAAAAATACGGTAGACATCTGAGGCGATATGGTTTGCTGGAATTTCTGGCCCGAAATTTATGAGTTAATTTACGAAAGGCTTTTCCGTAGGAGTAGGAATACTTGAGAAAACCATTGTTGGCGTAAATATCGTGGATTGAAGTCGAAGTGTTCAATGGCTCCCACCAGCATGGGTTTTTGAAGTTGGGTAAGAACTTGATTGGTCGCTACATTGATGAGACAATATGTATACGTAATCATGGTTATAATGAGTGATAAACCTAGTTTCAATTCTAATTATAATACTCGAAAAAATATGTTTAAAAAATGTGACCACGTCCAACCGGCTGCAAACAGATTCCAGTTTCCGGTTATATTTGTGCCCAGTTTATTTTCTGAGATTGTGTATTTGTCACAGAAGTGATGGCTCTGTGTCCCTTTCCGAGTATGTCATCCATCCCTACATGTCTGGGGCCAATATTGGTCCTGTTTTGTCGGCTTCTCTTGTTGATTTCGCCTCCTTTGTTCTAGTTATGATAGGTGTCCATATTTTTAATTTATTTCCTGGCGAGGGTCCGTTTTGTTGATTGACTGTGGCTTGGGACATTAGCGCTTACATTTATATTTTTCAGAGAGTACCATAAAACTTTTTCTGGATTGAAGACAGCACTCGTTTCTGCACACTTGTCTGTAGTTCTTTGGGCCGTCTGTTGCCTATCGCTCCACTGCTTGATTGGAAGAACATTATCTGCAAATGTAAATAGCCTTCCACTCCTATAGTTCTGATGCCCATGAACCCAGGTTGAGGAGAACCATACATGTATGCAGCTGCTATCCTGCAGCTCTGTTAAATCACCTATAATTCAAAAATATCTTCTCCCGATGTGAAGTCTGGACCCCATTTTGGGTGGTTGGACGGAGAATAGACCCGCTGCCCCCAACAAGCATGTCGTACAAAGCGACTATGGGTTTTATCTTAGATGTTGGAGTGCATCTGCCTGAGAGGCGAGGAGCAAACAGTGTATACAAAATAAGCCAGATCTGTCAAACTGATGTCCACGCAAAACTCAAGTTATGGGATAAAAGTAAAGTTAGGAAGTGGACAAACAAGCAAACCTTTTTGTGGTAGTTTACAGTCGGTGAAAAGAGAAGAAGAAAAATAGACTCCAGCATTAAAGTGATATGACATGGAGCAAACCAAGAGGAAGTCATGCAGACAGATTCTTATCTAAAATCATCGACGCATGTGTTTATCTGCCCCTTGCAGTTTTAACGGTAATTCTGTCGTTTATTTATCATTCATGTCGATGTTAAACAAAGAGTCATATCCTGTTCAACATTGTGGGTGTATAATGAAGATATACAGTTTTTGAGGCAGGCTTTCTTTAGGAAATCTACGTTTGCTTGTTCATGATAATGTACCACTATCTATCTAATAGTCTTGGCTGCCTTCATATACCATTTTTAGGGCATTTACAACACAAAGTCGTTTCGTTAGTTTCTTTTTTTGTTAAATGAAGAAAGAAACAGACCGCATAATGTCTCTTCATTATCATTCTCTTCACTTCTGCCTCTATCCCCTCGTTCTTAAACTCAGTCTGACGTTATTCCTAAGGCACCATACAGATAGATTAAGATCTACCCCCAAAATAAGCCCTTGAGTGCTTTGTAAGCCCTATCCCTAAAAAAGAGCCCTAGTTAAGATCGTTAGCTAGAATGACAGACTGCTGAATGTCCAGTCAGATTATACACGCCTCTCGTGCGCATTTGATAATGAACGGATATGATTCATAATTTGAGGTACGTCACTCGCATGACAATGTTCCAGAAAAAAAAAATATGACAAATGAATTTGAATTTATTTGTAGAATTTTGTGTCTGAAAGCAAATAAGACATCCCCTGAAAATATGCCCTTATTATTTTGCAGCTAATGTGCTCTGTTGCGTTACCTTAATCGGTAATAAGTGAGAACAGGAAGTTGTGAAAGAATGTGATCCGTAGTCTTCAATGTTATTCATCCCATTGAGCAACTGCCAGCTGCCATTCATCATCATCATAATCAGGTGCCTTGCCGACTGGCGTGGGCGATCATGCCTCTCCATAATCCATGATCTCCTGCAGCATGTATCAGTTTGTGTGCCGACACACCTCCATGCCATGCAACAAGCTGAATTCGTAATATTCTGAGGCATGATTGACTAGGGATAATACAGCGGTGGTTTCCCCTTGGCTTCCGCCGATTTGTATATGGTTTGATTATAACAGCCTTCGTCTAAAGAGTCTTACCCTGCAAGGCAGCAGGGGGGAGAGGTTATGGCGCCTCTTACCCGCCGATGGCCATGTCGTAAAGTTTTGAAGTATTTTATAGAGTTAGCTGTCCCACCAACTAACTCGCCACCTCTCAGTGACCATCACCTGTTTTGATCCACGGCCACTTATTCAGTATCAGCTGCCATTACAGCCTGTAATTACCACATTAGCGGTGTAGGCGGGGGGGATGGTGTCTATAGGACTGAGGTTTTAAAGCCACATGGCTAGTGCTGTCGTCAAGGACTGTGCTGGATCAGAATTTATTTTTACTCCCGGCAGAAACAAAATCTACAACCTTGCTCCGGATTTGCACCCTGGTCTCCCCCATGAGAACTTTGATATAGAGACTGTTTAATTATCACTGTGGCAAACATATGGCTTCTGGTATACTTTAAGAATACCATAAGCGGTCAAGGCAAATAAATAAAGCAGTCCCTCAAGAAGCAGATATAACTCGCCACCTGGTAATAGATATTCAATTTAGACGCCGAAATTTAGTTCTTGGATGGAGAAAACATGTAACCTTCTAACAACTGTCAAAGTAATGAGTAAAAAGGCAAGAGAAAGACGAAGAGAGGCTAATGATCTTTATAAATTGACAAAATGGTGCCATCAGAAGCAAAACGTGCGAGAAAATCATGTAGTCAGTTGCAGTACAATCGTAGACGCTTACCATCGGTCTTATAATGATTATAACGATCATGAAGATGAGGATATGGATAATGATGATGATGACGATAAAATAATACTACCGAACTGACCATTCTCAGTATTTCCGACACTTTGGCCCTCGGATCACACGGTACTGGAGCAAAGCCCTGCATTTTACGAAATGTTTGATTGAACTGTGTCTCCAACAGTCGATGGTCATCATCGGGCCACATTTTGACCCCTACCAGGGGCAAACAGAGCACGTACAGACAGACAGTGAATACTGTAGCCAGTATCAGGGTAAACAAACGTAAGTTGGCACCGCCCGTAACCTTCTTGGACCGGAAGAGCCATGCAGGAGCGTGTTGAAAAAGATAACCAAACTTCATGCTCCAATGAGAAACTCATAGCTGGTCAGAAATGTTATACTTTGTGAGAAAACATCAGGTGTATATGTGGTCGCTGATCGTAGATGGTGTTTCCAGCTTCCTGGTATCTGAGGAAGAGAATAGCAACAATGGTAAATGTCTTTTGACGGTTAGATCTGAACATAACTATGTCCTCGGATTAATCTTAGTCTTAGTCGAGGTTTCATCTTCACTGCAGTTGGGTTACCCCATACTTGCTCCGTTCCTGTGCCAGTGAAAATCAAATGATATGTCCCTCACTATACCATTTGACAAACTGGTGAAAATTAAGTACCAAAACAATCCAGAAATATGCGCACGCAGTAAATGCATTTGGCAGTTGCTAGAGGCGCCAAAGCCAACAGTCGCCACCAGAAATGTACTTTGATAGAAGTGATGGAATGCCGTTGATAGAAGAAGTCGAACGCGATAAGTTGGTTATACACACTTAGAATTATTACCTAAGGTATACTACGAGCTCACATATAAACAGCTACTGGCCACAATGAATACCACGAAACAACCGCTGCATATATGAAAGGCATTCCACTTGAAAAACACAGCTCACAGGGCTGCACCAAGCACTAAACTCAGTAGCTGAGGCAGCGAAACCGTAGACTTCCGTCTATGTGTGGAAACCCTATTTGCACATCCTTACCTACCATGAATGGCACCACTCATCAGATAGTTCTTGCTGTAGCCTTCACATGTGCATAAACTATAAACAACTCTTCAGGAGGTTAAACGGGTTAACAGGGATCTACCTTATTAGACTACCATCAACGATCTGATTCCTCGAGTCACAGTGATGGTTAAACCTGCAGTGGTAACACAGATGGCAAAAGTAGAAAATAAAAAATATAAAAACATGTAAGTTCACAAAGCAGCGGATTATTGCTTGCATATTCATACAATATTCATTTGTTACCGTGTGGGTTCCAGGGCCTCATTGGGTGGAAAAAAGGGGGCGGGGGAGTTGGGAGAATAGACCTATGTCCACCATATCAAGCATGTCGTAAAAGGCGACTAATTAGGCGTTTTTCCTACGAAGTTAGAGCGCATCTGTATGGGAATCAAGGAAACAATAGTCTTTGCAAAAAAGCAGATCTGTAAAGCTGATGTACATACACAATTTAAGTTCTGGAACAAGAATAAAGTCCAGAAGCGGGCGAACGATCAGAATTTTCCGCTGGAGTTGTCTTAAATCCAACGAGCCTGATCAGCCTAAACCCGTTACAAGAAAACGTATTGAGACAGTCGGTGTGGCCACTGTGATGTTGACCACATCAAAAATCGAGTTTTTAAATATTAGTTTTGCGGCCTTTTCCTTAACATGTGATGGCGGGATAAAAGTCCTTTCCTTTAATTAATTACACTCGCCGCCTTCACTTTCCACAGCATTTCCTTGAATTAATTCGGGGCTACGGCTGCCTGAAAGTCCGTGACTGGAACACAAGACCATTTATCAGACACACCGTCGTGCTGGCTTAGTGCGGCTTTCCAAATGCTACATAATTTTTTTTTATGTCTCCCAGGCTGACCCAAACCAAAATGGATACCATGAAGATATCTTGGGAGGTAGAGGCGTCCGGCGTAACGATGAACCACAATACTCATCAAGCGCCACATGATCTATAGAACAATGTGTCTAGCAACACATGATCCATGCGTCTACAGCACGAAAGAGATCCATTTCACTGGCTTAACTTATTAAAAAGAATACATCGGCAATTTCCAGTTCCAAAGATCAGGGGCGTCGACACAAAGAAAACACTGGAAAGGTGATGTCCAGCTTCCTTTAAAATTTTCTGGAGGCGAGGAGCCCCGGTGAGACTAAGGCTGGTTGAAACGTATAACAATAATGTGCTGAACTGGAAATAAACAGAACAGTATACTTACAATAATATGACAAATGTAGAATAAAACTTTGAAAGATAATTTAAATACATTGTTGTGGGGTGGGAGGGGTGTGAGCTTAGTCTCTTAATGGGTTTTTTTTTAAAGAATAAAGGGGGCGGGAAGGGGGCTTCAGACTCCGGCGCCCCTGCCAGAGCCTCTCGAGCTGACAAACAAGTATATGAAAAGATAACCCGTGGACCGTCAGCATCTCGCAAGACGGCTCATATCTAAGCTGTAACAGTTTCACAGCGCTGTCTAGACTTGTTTACTTACATGCCTGGATTCTGTCCCATGAAAGACACGACAGGTGAAAGCTGTTCTCTGAGTTTACTTTCAGAGCTGGCACACTTATTTATCCCATATTTTCTGCCACTTTCCGAAAAAAGACATTAATGAGAGCAGTTCGGGTGGTTGAAATGATTACACTGTCAGTAGCAGGTTTTTTTTTTCATGCTGAAATACACACTTTGTGGGGATTACCGGCACCATTTGAGACACTTTGTGGTGAATACCGGCACCATTTTAGTCACTTTGTGGTGAGTACCCAAACACTCTTCTTTTAAGAAGGAAAAAAAAAAATGGTTAGTAGACATACTAATAACTGGTGCCGGCGCAGAATGAACAGGGTAAAAGAGTCTGACAGAATCATTAATAAGGAGCCTTTGGGAGAGTTCTAAACCGGTCACAATGAATCACAAGGTGAGGAAAAGGCGCTGGTGTTGGAAAGTACACACTTTAAAAAAAAAACATGATCATATTACTAGAATGTCCTTACACAGTGTTTAACGGGGTCAAAGGGATTCAGCCAGACCACAGGCGCGCCCGTGCGCACACAAAACATAACGCTTGGAAAGAGTAGCCAGGGAATTACATTTTTTTTAAATAGCTAGGACATGTGGCCAGCAACATGTTACAAGAAAAAATGAAAATCGATTGGCATGCGTTGGATAAGGGCCTACGCATTGAAAGAAGAAGAAGGCGACATACAGACAAATAGACAGACAAGCACGCAGGCTATCAGGCAGGCAGAAATTTAGACAGGTGATAAACATAATAACTACTCGTCCAAAGCGAAATTCTGGTGTTAGTTCCAGGGCTGTCTTGCACGCATTATGGGCCCCTGGGCAAACAAGAGTGCTGGAGCTTCTACGACAACCACTTATAGAAGTGATATGTGAATTGTCGGTAATACAAAACATATATATTGCTTTTATTATTTTTTTTAGTGGCAATTCAACATATATGTTGTCAAAGCTAAAACATAGATTAGATGGCATAGTATGAAATTACTAGTAACTTCTTATAGTCGCTTGACATTCACAGATCAGCAGGGAGCCTGTAGACTCGTGAGGTCTCCAGACAAGTTCCCAGGGTGCCTAGCCGTTGAGACGGCCCTGGTTAGTTCTGCAAGGTCCTGTAAGGGTCACGAAATAAATTTATGGTGACCATGAGTTCGTGTCACGGACTGTGTTGACCTGTTCGTGGCTGCAATGTTACTATCTCTGGGAATCGTCGCTATACCTACGGAGCTCGTGTTTTGTGTGACTTTTACTGTAGACGGCTAACCATTCTGCGAAGAGGTAAAGCCATATGGGATGAAACCCTTTTTAAAGAAGTCGATCTTCAGACTTTTAAAGCTACAGAAAGTAAGTAAGTAAGTAAATCTTACCCCACCAGAACATCACACAGAGCGATAAACAACTGGTGACACAAAGTGCCACCATGGGGATGAGGATCACCCTTGGAGAGGTCCCGGAAATCCCGTCCAAACATTGGGTTATAGTAGAGCCCCGGCATAAAGCTGGGATGGGGCTTCAAAATAGCGAAAAATTGTGTCCCCCATGGGGACGACGTTAGTTTACTAAAGAAACTGAAAGTCCCACGTGAAGACGACTGACTGACTGACTTTCTACCCCACCAGGACATCACACAAGCGACAAACACCCAATGACACAATGTGTCACCATGTGGATGAGGATCACCGTGGAGAGGTCCCAGAAACCGCGTTCAGCCTTTAGGCCGTATTAATGGCCAGGCTATATTGCGGCCCCTGACAAGAGCCAGAGCGGGGCTTCAAAGAACGAAAAATGTCATCCTAAAAAGGACGGGAAGTTATACGTGAAGACGACGTTAGTTAACTAGAGAAACAGAAAGTAAGACTAGCAGTCCTGGTACGGACACAAAATAACAAGTCTCAACATTAAGATGTTAATCCTACGAAAACCTATCTTGGAGGGGAACAGTTACTTGACCCAACCTGAACTCTAACAGTAGAGTAACACACATATCATACATGGACGCCTAGGCATCGCAGAAGTCAATAGTTTTTCTATGAGGCGAAGAGTGATCTAGTACTTTGGCAACAACAGATTCAGCCGGTTTCCTCTTTCAATGTAAAACAGTTGGAGCTGGCTTGGGTCTACCTTACTGCTACGAGTGTTTGGCACCTTTCTGTCTTTCCTGATGACTGTGTTAAATTGTGCTATAGTAGAGGTTCTCAACCTTCCTTATGCGGCAACCCTTTAATACAGTTCCTCATGTTGTGGTGACCCCCAAATAGAAAAAAATTACTTTCGTTGCTACTTCATAACTTTAGTGAATACCTGTTTCCGATGGTCTTGGGCGAACCTGTGAAAAAGTCGTTCGACCCCATAGGTTGGGAACCTCTGAGCTAAAGGGAAGAATGGGTATCATAGCACACGCTACACAGAGTAGACCATGTGGAACTCCTGTTAACCAGCCTGTCAGTGTCTAGAACACTCACTCAGACGGTGTGTACAAATATTAGAAAATAAACTGTATCTCTATAAATAGGGAGTCCCCGTGGCGGAGCGGCTAGACGCTCTCCGCGGATCGGAAGGTCGTGGGCTCGATCCCTGGCGGAGCCGGACTTTTTTCAAAAATGACCTTGGCTCCCAGGTCGACCCAGCCTTGAGTGGGTACCGGATGCAGTCCCAGGAAGTAAAGGCGACTGGCATGATGCTAACCACATTACCCATCTTGTGCCAATTGGTCTTTAAAAATATAGGTCTAGCCCTATATACCCTATACGCCTAAAGGCGTGGAAAAGGGTCCTTTACTTT